TTAAATGTAAATTACGGATCGATTTAAATTCTACTTTTAAACGTAATGCTCTGTGCCCTATTTATTGTTTGTCCACGGTGTCTGAATAAGAGAAACGAGGTCAACATAACCTTGAAACTGCGACTTATGCGTTCGCCAGTTCTCATTTTGTTTTTATAATCGACGTTCTTGCTAACTGCGTGCAACACTCTTCACCCGTCTACAGAGAACATCATCCCCTAGATGCTGTGCAGTCTTCAGTTCTATCTAAATCTTTGCAGAACTGAACAAACACACAGTCTCTCTCACGGAGGTAGGAGGGATTCCTCACGTGATTTCCTTGAAGGCTCTCTTCTCCACGTATTTGAGTTTGTGCTTCCTCTTGAACCTGGAAAGGAAAGAGAGGGACAGCTCAAACCACAGCGGGACACTTCCTACCACACACCCCACCAACACCTTACATTCCCCAGCGCGCGCAGATTTAATGCTTCAGAAACCCTGAAGCTCTGGTTTCAGCAGTTTTTGACTTTGCATGGCTAAATACTGTATTTTCACATCACGCAGTGGTGGTGCACTTACTTGGCTCGCTCTCTGGGTTCGATCAGGTTCCTCTTCTGAAAGCTCTTGAATCTGTCCTTGAGGACACTGCCCTCTGGCTGTGACACAGGGAAAAGACAGTCACTTCACGGCAGAGAGGACAGAGGATGGACAGAGCTAATGTTAATGTTAATGTTTCTTTATTAGCCCTATACAATTTCTTGCATTAGGAATTCGTCTTTTCGCATACCCCAGCTTTTCTCCATGGAGACACAGACACACAGACAGGGAGAGAAGCTTGGGGTCAGAGTGCAGGGTCTGCCATTGTACGGCGCCCCTGGAGCAGTTAGGGTAAAGGGCCTTGCTCAGAGGCCCAACGGAGTAGGATTCCTCTGCCGGCCGTGGGATTTGAACCGGCATCCTTCCAGTCACAGGCGCAGATCCTGAGCAACACCTCAGTGACCACTCTAGGAATACAAACCATCTGCCTTTTGCTTTCGCTCAAAAGGAGGTTCAGAAACCGAGTGGCCAAACGACTTGGTGGGGAAAAAAAGCAATAAAGAGCAACATAAGGACATCACCTTGAGTCTGCGCAGACAGCTGGAGATCTCGGTACTCAGCTGCACCTCCAGGTCTGGGGCCTCGAACCTGGAACACGGGGAGAAAGCGAGGTGAGAAATGCTGCTGCACCCTCTCAGTTGCCCACACAGGGACTCACTACAGCTGCCCTGATCCTGCCTCAGTCCAGCAAGCAGGGCATTGCTACAACCACTGCAGCACTGCCACTGGACACAGCCAGAAAACAGTATCCCAGATGAATGGCAGCTTTGAAAAACATCTTTTTTTAAAAACATGCAATGTAGACTTAAGTGTTAATAGGAAGGAACTAGATAAAGAATAAGGCAACTGACTTTCGGTTAGAAATGAGGGGAAAGACACATGGAACAGAAACTCCCACAATGATCCTTAACCACTTAAGGCAACAAGGGTCAGAGGTCATAGTACAGGCATAATGCAAAACAGGAAAAAAAATTACAGCCCAAAGCTGACTTCTGGATGGGACAGCTTGTTATTTTTTCCCAGGTTTTAAAAATTCCTCGGTGTGCGAAAGCTAATTCTTCTCTTACCTGACAAGCCTTAAAAAGCCCAGCTGTTGTGACCAGCTAATGCTCACTGAACACGCACGTGCACTGCGGACGGCGTGAGGTTCGCAAACAGGAGCCGTGCTGTCTTGTTCAAGCTTATTTGCTTAAAAAAAACATTTGGGCCAACGCGATGCATCACAAAGAGAAACAATATGGAGGTTACCAGCCTGAAAGGGTGTTTTTTGAGGGATCTTTTGAACATGGTTAAAGGCAGGTGGTTAAGGAGACTCTACAACAGAGCAGCAGGATCAGTCCAGACACAGAGAGCCAGCTATTAAAACCCAGTCGAACTGAAAGGGCGGGATGGGCAGACAGCGCTATAATACAGACAGGAAGCGGGGAGTGGAGAACGAGACGGACTTGAGCCTCCCCAGCCGGCGGGGCTGGAACTTCTGCCTCTCCTTCTGGGCTCTGCGGCGCTCCTGTCGCTCGGCTGTCAGCTGGGCCCCCCTCTGCAGCTCCGTCTTGATGGAGCGCAGCCTGAAGAGCTGCTGCCGCCTCTCCGTCTGCTCCCGCTGGGCTTTCCGCTGCTTCTCCTGCGCAGACGCACAAGGCGGCGCGCTCAGAACAGAGGTGTGCGAGACTCGCAGAAATGCCATTCTACCACTGACACACACACACACTTCCCTCTCTTTGTGCGGACATTCTACCACTTTCTCAAAGTCTCTCCCTATTGCACATTGACAGCTACCCACACAAAATCGCAACTAATAATAATAATAATTGCTTACACTTATATAGCGCTTTTTTCTGGACACTCCACTCAAAGCGCTTTACAGGTAATGGGGATCCCCTCCACCACCACCAATGTGCAGCCCCACCTGGATGATGCGACAGCAGCCATAGTGCACCAGAACGCTCACCACACATCAGCTATCAGTGGGGAGGAGAGCAGAGTAATGAAGCCAATTCACAGAGGGGGATTGTTAGGAGGCCATGATTGATAACAGCCGATGGGGAAATTTGGCTAGGACCCCGGGGTTACACCCCTACTCTTTTCGAGAAACACCCTGGGATTTTTAATGACCACAGAGAGTCAGGACCTCGGTTTTACATCTCATCCGAAGGACGGCGCCTGTTTACAGTATAGTGTCCCCATCACTACACTGGGGCATTAGGACCCACATGAGCCGCAGGGTGAGCACCCCCTGCTGGCCCCACTAACGCCTCTTCCAGCAGCAACCTTAGTTTTTCCCAGGAGGTCTCCCATCCAGGTACTGACCAGGCTCACACCTGCTTAGCTTCTGTGGGTTGCCAGTTGTGAGTTGCAGGGTGATATGGCTGCTGGATAAAAGCAACTGTGTGTCTTATACTTGTAGGGACCTCTAACAGACTCAACTCTCATTCGATTTTAATTTACTTTCTCTAGTCTGCTAAAATTATACTCCACAGAGAGCTAAAATCACCCCGACACAAAAAATATCTAAACTGCCATGAGACTTGTGAGGATCTACTCACTATGTCTTGCAGTGCTGGTTTCTTTGAAATTGCTAGGCTTGGGAGGCCAATCACTCTCAGATTCAGTCCTCAGTTACTGCAATACCTCCCCACGTTCAGCAGTCACGCCCCAACCCTTTCTCACCTTCTCCCTCTCCAGCTTCTCCTTCTTTCTCTGTTTCTCCGTTTTCTTCTCTCCTGCAGCACTCAGCGCCGAAGTGCCTGCATCATCCCCCTCTTCCTCGCCAGCTGACTCTGCCTCTTCTTCCTCCTCATCCTCCATCAAGCCTTCCACCACTTCCTGAAAGACTGTCTCCTGCAGACAGACGCACAGAGACATGGGGGTTGATATTAGAATGACACAGAATGACACTGGCACCTACAGAGAGACGAGCAGGGGGTCACTGTCATCTAGACAGAAAGAGAGCAATATTAAAACAACTTTCCATTGCAGCTCAAAACCTCGCAGACAGTATGCCTGCGAGTGAGAAAGGGAAACAGTTCATTGCTCGTCTGCATTTTTCACGCACACATTACCTACTGCTAATGAAACCCAAACCGAAGGAGAAGGCGAGAGACTGAGCGTGAGACTTCTCTCCGTCGCACGAGTACACAACAGAGAGATGGTGCAGGAGTCCCAGTGGGGGGAGTGAGAGAGCCAGACCGCAAAGAGAGAGGGAGTGAGACACTCTGCAGGGATTAGAGTGTGGGAGGCCTGTACCTCTGTGGCTTTGTCTTCCTGGGGAACGGCCAGCTGCCTGTCAATGTGCTGCTCCTCCTTCTGCCTCTTGACCTCCACCACGTGGGCCTGGAGCAGCAGGGCCTGCGCACACACAGCACAACAGCACAGCCACGACCTTTAGTTACCACAGCAAGGCCTGGACACACATCAGCACGGCAACCCAACGGTGGTACACAATACTGAAACAAGTAAGATTTAACACCTGGTGGGATTCAAAGTCGGGATTGTAGGAAGCTCCCGCAGAAACAACCTCTATGGCTGGAAGTGCCGAAGGCTTCACGTTGAGCCTGGCGGGACGCTGGGGGCAAGCGGGAGAGAAGGAGAGGTTAACACGCTGCTCAACACTGCACAGTGCACTGAGACAGGCAGGGATTAGCAACCAGTCAACTACAACATGCCTGTCTTAGAGCCAAACAGCTCCAAACAGCTCACTTAAGCCATTCCCCCGACCACCAGCGCCAAAGTCTTAAAGGGCTAGCGATCTTCTCCACACCCCTCCCTGTCCCCCACTCACTTTCACTGGCTTCTTCTTGGTTTGCTCCAAGTACCAGGGCTCTTCTGTGGGTGCCCCTAAAACAGGAGAATCCAAGTCAGACAAAAACGGGAGGGTGAGATCACACCCGAGACACTGCTCAGGCAGCTGGTTGCGTCAAGGTTTCACCACAAGGACACAGCACTGCATCACACATAATAATAATAGTTCCTTACACTTAGCAATTCTGTGGACACTCCACTCAAAGAGCTTTACAGGTAATGGGGATCCCCTCCACCACCAACAACGTGCAGCCCCACCTGGATGATGTGCCGGTACTCCCCCCACACACCAGCTCTCAGTGGGGAGGAGAACGGAGTGATGAAGCCAGTTCAGAGATGGGGATTATTAAGAGGCCACAATTGCTAAAGACCAATGGGAAATCTGGCCAGGACGCCGGGTTAACACCACTATTCTTTTCAAGAAAACGCCCTGGGAGAGCCATACCAGGGAAACTGGACCTTGATTTTACATCTAATCCGAAAGATGGCGCCTTTTCACAGTACAGTGTCCCCGTCACTATACTGGGGCATTAGGACCCACACAAACCACAGGGTAAGCGCCCCCTACTGGCCCCACTAAGACCTCTTCCAGCAGCAACCTTACTTTTTTCCCCAGGAGGTCTCCAATCCAGGTACTGACCAGACTCACTCCTGCTGAGCTCCAGTGGGCTGCCAGCTGGGAGCGGCAGGGGGACAGAGCTGCTGGCTGCACATGCACACACATACGCTAACAAGTGACACTGAAAAACAGATGTCACCCCTCAGGACATATGGAGCCAGTCCAGAGAAACCAGACTGCAGGTTCACCTGTGTCGCCCCACAGATCATAGAAGCCTTTCTGCGGGGGGCAGCTGTGGCCTGGCTTCTCCTCTTTCTTGCTTTCGGCACCCAGCCTCTTCTGCAGCAGCCTCTGTTTCCGTGGCAGCCTGCCCTTAGCGGCCAGCTGCTCGGCCTTCTGGGAGATCCGGCGCAGCTTCTTGGCGTTGGGCTGCTGGTGTGACAGCACACTGCAGACACAAGGGGGGGTAGACGGACAGTCACAAATGATGAGACTCCTTCCCCCCAACCACACAGCTAAACACTGTCTCCTCCTATCCTGATGGTGCCCTCAGTTCCCAGGGGAATGCCCACTCGGCAGCACCTGGGAAACCCTGTGTGTTCGTCACATTCCCAGCAGCCGGGGGCTGAGGGAATACTGTGAGCGCAAGGATGGCTCTCTTCACTGGGCGGACGGACCGGCCACCTGACCCACTGATCGAGAGAGTCGGGCGGGTGTCAGGGGAGGGAAGGAGAGGGGGAAAGACTCACTCTTTGGGTGCGGGGATGTGGGAATCCGGCCGCAGGATCAGGTCAGCCTTCAGGGGCCGAGTCTTTCCCGTATCCGGCTTCACATCTGATCAAGGGAACAACAGCAACACGATCAACAACACAGCAATCGGTAACAACTGACAGCAGGAGAGGGGAGATATGGGGGAGGCAGAGACGGGGACAAACTGACGTACCTTTCTGCTTGTCTCCCGTGTCCAGGAAGAACAGACTGTCGTCAGCCTTCTCTGCAACCAGTCCCCTGCGCTCAAGGACAGATTCAGCAAATCACCACAATGGCTACATGGACATACAGTTTTCACTGTATTCGGCATACCGCACTACTGGGACATAATGTATTGCACACACCCTGGGCACATTGCAGCTCGATTTACATTGAGCTCTGTCTGAGTTTATTTTATTCAATTTCTATTGCACAATTATGTATGATTATGTAACCTTCTTTTGTAACTTGAATTTTGTGATTTATACCCCCTGGTGAGCTCACAGAACAGACATTTCATTGCCAGCAACTACCGCTGCACGCTGGACTGTTGTGCATTTGATAAATAAACTTTGATTGATTAGTTGAGAAGCGCTGCTTCAGCAAGCAGACACACACAACACCACACAGGCCCTGAACCCCACAGCGAGGCGACAGGGCCCAGTGGTCAGCATGCACTGCCTGCTCAGGCCAGGGGGATCCTGGTGCGAGCTCGGCTGTGCTTGTCTGCCTTCCTACAGACAGCAGCTCAAACCCGGATTGTCAGCGATTGCAGCGGCCACTGATGCCGCTCAGAAACATCAACGCACACATCCCCTCAAGCAAGGGGCGGCAGAACACGGTTTATTACGGTTTTAACGCTTAAACGCCACGACCACTCGGCGAGTGCGAGCACACGTGACACGAACACGACGCGCACTACACAGCTTCTGCTGGGGTTACAGTCCCCACGACTGCCTCCACTCGCGTCCCCCAGAAGGTCTCTTCCTCAGACTTCCCCTCTCCAAATTCGAGTACCGCTGCGAGGCGGTTTCGGAACAGCCCAGATAACAACAAACGTGGTGCAAATAAACTCGGTGTCGCTACCGCCCAGCCGGCGAGAGCTCCACTTACCCTGTCGCTCTCTCTTGCAGCCTCACGTCATCCAAAAACTCCTCCACGTCCTGGATATCGCTGTACTTCAGCCAGTTTTTCTTCTTGTTCTTGTTCACTTTCTTCCTCCTCTTGTACGGCTCCGAACCATCCAGAGCCGGGCTCAGATTTAAGAAACCCTCCTGGGTGGCCGCCACGCGCTTTACCCTCCTGGCCGCCGCCATGTTGGATGAAACCGGAGGGAGGAAGTGCGGCTGCTGACGTCACTCGGACCAGGTGGTAATTCCTCGCGGGCCAGTCAGTAACGGGGCTCGCCAGCCCTGAAGATGAGTATTCGTCCAAAATTAGGCACTGTTTTGTTCTGACGTCGCTCCTACAGGACATCTGTATACGAATGATATTCACGTACTTACATAGTGCGATCCTTAGAAATCTTAGACAATGTCTAAAACATTGTTTTAGAACAATGTTATTCTTTATGAATTTAATTAAACAAGCACAAAGCTACGGACCAGTCGGCTATCTTATTCATCTGGTGTGAGATATATATATATATTTTTATCTCGCAGCGATCTCATATTGGAAAGGATGGACAGCAGCTACTGCTGCCAACAGGTACAGGCACCAACAACGTCAAGGAACATAACAATAGGACAGATGTGTTACCATTGACCTATATTGACTTGAACAAGAAAATAAAACAATAACCAAAAGTTATTATTGTCTGGAAAACATTTTTGAATTCTTGTCCTAAAAATTAAATATTTTTAATTTTACATTTACCAGTTGAAAGTCAAAATACAACTATATCTACAACCGGACAGGTGTTGGTAGAGACAGTGACGTGGACTGATCAATGTTAATGATTCGATCTGGGCAAGACCAGAGTCATACACTCAGCTGAAGCAGGGGCCGAAGATTGATCAGAACACCCCCTGGCATTTAAATATTTATCATGTGTTCGATTATTCTGGTGTATTGGTAACCCCCAAACCTGCGGACTCTGATACATAATTATCCCTTTAGTTCGACATTGTTTCTTCTTATCCTGATGATCCTCTTATCCTTTTGTGACGTAATAAAGGGGTTCATTCATCTACTTCTTTTCAGTTTCAAAACATGCTGGAGTTTGCTTTTTAACTGCCTTGTGTCGAACACATGAAGATCTCCAACGCCAGAGCAGAAAAAGCACCTGCAAGCGGTCAAGCGTCTTGCTGGGTCAGTTACACACTGAGCTCGGCTGCAGTGGAACCCAGCTGGGGAGTGGCTCTCCGGAACCGGGCGGGAGAACTCCCGGTCGGCACAGGTGATATGTTGTTTATTGGCCGGATGTGCATGTTGATGCTTCATCTGTAGGATAAGAGTGGAAATCCCGCGGCCGGCAGAGGAATCCTACTCCGTTGGGCCCCTGAGCAAGGCCCTTAACCCCAACTGCTCCTGTATAGTGTCCCCATCACTATACTGGGGCATTAGGACCCACATGGACCGCAGGGTGAGCGCCCCCTGCTGGCCCCAGTAACACCTCTTCCAGCACCAACCTTAGTTTTTCCCCAGGAGTCATCCAGGTACTGACCAGGCTCACACCCGCTGAGCTTCAGTGGGCTGCCAAGTTGTGAGTTGCAGGGTGATATGGCTGACCCTGCGCTCTGACCCCAAGCTTCTCTCTCGCCATCTGTGTGTCTCATGGAGAGCATGCTGGGAACTGCTAAAAGACAAATTCCTCATGCCAGAAATTGTATAGGGGTGATAAAGTGATCTCTTATAACAGTAGATGCGACTGCCCACGGCCTGGCTTCAGTGCGCAGGACGCCGGTCAGGACAGCAGCGTTATAGTATCGGCGGGAACAATAACGTTGTTAAAGACGGAACTGTGCCCTTAGCAACAGCAGCGGTACACACAGCAATAAAATCCCTAATTAGCACAAGGAGCAGAGGCAGCAGCAGTACAGGTTGGTGTGGTCAAGGCAGTAGCAGAGGGGCTTGCAGAATCAGTAGTAGCAGCAGAGGCAGATGTGGAGATGGCAGCTATAAAGCAAGGCAGTTAATGGAGCAATTTAAATGAAGTTTATCATAGCAGTAGGTGAAAAATAACACCAACAGAGCACGTTACTGACTTTGAATTCTTAATTAAATACCTGTTTGTCATGTGTGCCTTTCTTAGGCCAGAAATAATAGTTGTGAAATATTCAAAGTAGGGAAATCATATTTTTATTTAATTTACAAGAAAGGAATACAAATAGAACACGCTAACAATGTCTCAGAGTGCCATGCCATGTCTATACTGGGCCGCAACTGCTAGTACAGTAATACACTAATATAGCAGCATAATCATACCAATTACCACTGGCATGGTAAATGAGTATTAATATAGTATTATCGTCACAAATGTTATCACATTTAACATTACTGTGAAACTCCTGCTAGTATTTTAATAGACTAATATAGCACAATAATATCCCATGATACTCATGGGGATACAGAATAATACGTAGACTGATTTAATACATTAAATAAAAGTATTATAAAATAGTGAAAATAATTTAAATAAGCATAAAAACTGGAGTTTTGACTCCGTAATTCAACTTTCTCACGATTTATCCAAGAAACTCCACATGCCCACTGTTAAATCACGTGTACAACACTCCCCCTCCCCCCCCCATTTAAGAAAACGAAATTTAAAAAAAAAATCGAAAACTAGCCCCCCAAAATGACCCCCTGAAACCACTCGTCTGCCCCCTCCCTGCCCAAATCCCACGGACGACTGGCGGTGGCTTCTCTGGGGGTAGGTTAAAAAAAATTCGCGTGAATGGCGTCTCTGGAAATGAAAGTAGCGATTTATTGAAATATGGAAACGTTGAAAGATGGAACAAAATGGTAAAAAAAAAAACCGTGGCAGGAGAAAATGGTCACCGCGGCGAGGTGCGGCGCATTGTGGGAGGAGTATGATTGACAGGGCAGCCATGTTGCCGCTGGCCGCTCCGCGCTCATTGTGTGAGAGAGACCGTAAATACTGACAACCGAAAATCTTATTTCACTATTTAACCCGCACTTTCCCCCAGGTAAGTACCAGCAGGCACCGGGATCTCCCTCACCGGGCACTTTTTACACCTTTTGTAAAAGTTTAGGATTTGTTTTATTTCGTTTTTTTCGCGTTTTTATTTTTTTTTTAGAAGGGAAATGCAAAAACAAGCCCGACAGCCGAGACGCCAGAGAGAAAAACACAGCCTTTCTACTTCTGAGGAGATAGAAAATCTAGCTTCACTTTGGGAGGCGGGGGGGGGAAGAGGTTTGCTTCGATAAAACGCGGCGGTTGCGCGTTAAACCACGGCTTGGCTGAACTTATTGGGTTCCTCTGGGTGTCTACTTTGCGCCCCGTCGGCTGTTTTGTGGGGCAGTTGCTGGGTTTTTCGACAATTTTTGAAAGTTTTTCATCCTGCCGCTCTCTGCTCGCTGTTCGCAGGTCTCGCCCCGGTTGCGTTTCAAACAGCGGCCATGGTCTGCGAGGGGGGGGGGCGTGTGGGGGGTGGGCCGGCGCAGGGAGGAGTCGTGGTCGATGTGAGCCCGCCCACTTGCTCTCGCCTGTGGGGATTGGTTGGGAGAGCTAGACTCCGCAAACCGATAGGCTGCGTGACAGGGTTAGGCTGGTCGTTTTTTTCCCGTTCTATTTTTTTTTTGTTCCCCAGCGCATGATTGACAGCGTAGCCGCAGAGGCCGATTGGCTGCAGGCCCCTGCTAGTTCCGCCTCCACGCGTGCTGTGGAGTTGCGGATTGGCTTGAATCTCTGTTGCTAGGACTGGGTTGGATTTGTTTATAGGATGGCGCTGAGGCCTCTGGATATCGTAGTGTTGTGGTCCACTTGACCCAGTTGCAGATTCTGCAAGCGTGGACTGAGAACGTTTTTCCCCCGAATAGATGGCACACTCTGTTTTGAAAGTCTTGAGAGCAGGTTTGCCGACTATAGCAGCTGCTAGAAATGCTGTATTACTAACATAGGAACAAGTAAAGATTTATTCCCTGCTGAAAAGAGAAGAAAGGAAACGCAACGTTTTCAGCAGGGAATAAACCTTTACTGACACAGCTCCCTACTTGTATTACTAACATAGACAGCCACTGTAATAAAGAATGCTAGTAGCAATAAACTCCTCGCACTTATGCAGCGGTTTTCATCACCTTCAAAACTGCCTCACCAACTAAATTAAGGGGAGGTCAGGTTGTTCGAGACCAGAGTGAAGTTTAGCCGGGACACTGCGCTTAATTACATCCGCTTTTTAGACAAAACGTTATCATGGCGTCGTTAACGACAAAGTAGTTTGGACCGTGTTTTAATCTCTCACCCGAAGGATAGAACCTCCTGAATCACAGTGGCCCTGGTTGCCAGACGAGTGCTTTGCTTTGTAAATTTTTCTTTAGAGGAGAAAACTTATTTTCTTACAAATCTCCCATCCTGCCCAATAATAATAATAATTTACACTTACATAGCACTTTTTTGGACACTACTCAAAGCGCTTTACAGGTGATAGTCCACTCCACCAGCACCAGTTTGCAGCCCCACTGTCCCACCAGTACGCTCTGCACACACCAGCTCTCAGTGGGGAGGAGAATGGAGTGATGGAGCCAGTTCAAGTTGTAATAGTTATTCAGTTACATATAGTAGGGCTTCTCAGTCCGCATTCCTGCTCTCCTGGAACATGAGGTGCATCATAATAACGTGTAGTGGTGGATGACATCATCTCTGTGTCCTTGTTCCTCAGGGTGAACCGTTGTTGCGATGGCCCGTACCAAGCAGACTGCCCGTAAGTCCACTGGAGGCAAGGCCCCCCGCAAGCAGCTGGCCACCAAGGCTGCTCGCAAGAGTGCGCCCTCCACTGGTGGAGTGAAGAAGCCACATCGCTACAGGTCAGGCCCGGCACAGTTCGACTGCAGTCCGCTATTTGTCAGCGCAAATGCGCCACACACTCTCACTGTACTCTCTAACACACACTGTCCTTGCATAGTTGAAAACATCCTGTGACTGTACTGTATAGTATAAAACGCATAGAGTGTAGTATTAAAGACTCTGGATTACAGGCTATCACTAAGTAGTATGAAAAACTACTGCTTTACAAAATAGTCACTACTATAATGTATAGAACAGGCAGTCTCTGTAATGTTCAGTATAACATGCTGTCATGCACTGCACAATACTTTCACTAGTGTAAAATAGAACATAATGTCACTGTATAGTTGAAACCCCCTTTCTGAATTGCACTCTAAGTTGCACTATACTATAAAATATATAGTACTCTACTATATCTGTCACTGTACGTATTGTGACTGCACTACAAACACTGTAACAGACATATCTCTGTACTGTATAAAACACAGTGAGTATAATACAGAGTAGCAGTCTCAGAGTGCTAAGAGTACTGTGCTGTTTAACCCATGGTCACTGCTGTGCTCTGCAGACTGACAGTTGTGGCATAGCCCCACTCTCACTCTTCGCAGTGCAGGACACTCTGCCTGCCAGCCTTACCTCTGTCTCTCTGACACCCACTCTCCCTCTGTGCTGCCCCCAGGCCCGGTACAGTGGCCCTCCGTGAGATCCGTCGGTACCAGAAGTCAACCGAGCTGCTGATCCGCAAGCTGCCGTTCCAGCGGCTGGTGAGGGAAATTGCCCAGGACTTCAAGACCGACCTGCGCTTCCAGAGCGCCGCCATCGGGGCCCTGCAGGTAAGGCGGCGTGCCCTTAACACAGAGAATCCATCTGCAGCAGGGGTGTCCAACCCCAGCCCTCAGGGTCTGCCGTCCAGCGGGTTTTAGAAGGCTCTTTAAATCTCTAGTTATTTAAGATCAGGGAAAGGCCCTTATTGGTCCAATTAGTCAAGTAATGAGATCCATTAATAAAAGGTGAAGGTGGAAGGAGAACCTGAAAACCAGGATTGCTGTTGTGCACACCTGACCTATAGTGTGCCTCTGAAGTTACGTGGCCACTGTGGCCAACAGTGTAGTGGAGTGTGTGCACCAAGGAGTGGTAAAAAGAGGTCCGTGCACAGACGGGACCATGTGGAGCACTAACCCACTGGACACCAGAAGACAGCAGTTACTGACACTTTTATCAAGATGTAGGCAAGCTATTACAGGGCACAGGTGATGATCACACTGCCCTCTGGTGGATACCGTGATGTTAATACCCTTTGGTGTCCACTGTTACTGTCTATGGAAACATGCTCCTATATGCTGCACAGTGGACAACGTTCATTGCACTTCTGGTTGAATAAGTGCCCTGAAATCTCTATTCTTTTTGTCCGTTTCTAAAACTGTTCCTGTGTTCTGTCTTTGTGCATCTCCTCAAATGCTGTCTATACTGCCATTTGTCCTCACTCATAGTCTCCTGTCCACAATAGGCGTGTCCCACTCGTCGCGTCCTGACAGCGTCTCGCTCTTTCTCTGCAGGAAGCCAGCGAGGCCTACCTGGTGGGCTTGTTTGAGGACACCAACCTGTGTGCCATCCATGCCAAGCGTGTCACCATCATGCCCAAAGACATCCAGCTGGCCCGCCGCATCCGTGGGGAGCGCGCCTAAGCGCCCAGCCGCCCCCTCTCTCCCGCGCTCCTTCTTCTGTTTGTAGTCTTTAGATTAACGATGATCTTGAGAATAAAGTGTGTAGTCGCGTCTTTATTAGTCCTGTCGGCAGCAGACTTCTAGGGTACCTTTCTCGTGCATGTACCGGCTGTGTGCTGACCAGACACGCGTGCAGAGGGACAGGCAGGCCGAGAGCCTGACAGACGGGCCGACGGAGACGCGGGCAGCCGGGGTCGGTCTGCTGCGGGGGGGTGGGGGTGCCTTCCTCAGCAGGGTGCTACAAAAACTGCCCCGGCTGGGCCTCCACAACTACCCCTTTGTCTGATTTGGGAGGGTTTGGGGGTTATCAGGTATTTCAGAGGCTTGGATCAGACCAGGTTTCGGGTCAGCGTACTCACTCCTCTCTTCAGCTCAGACGATGGAGGGAGCATCATCGCCAACAGAAAACGGGGCGTTCGCGAAGGAGGGGGAAGGAATCCGTTCGGCCCGCCTGTCCACACGTCTGTCCGTCTGCACACGTGCCCTGAGCAGCACATAGCAAAAATGTATTCAACTACAAGCAACTCTTGATTGAGCAATTCATGTTGATTATGATGATGATGATTAAGTATCTTTTTGGATGGTGTCTTTTTTTTTTTTAGTACACAGTCTGTTCTTTTCATAACTGCAGAAATCAATTATAAACAGACATTTAAGAAATGGGGAGTAATGTTTTTACAAAAAAAAAAGTTCTTGTTTTTTCTAACAAAAAGTTTTCGTCGACTTCTAAGCTTCTTAAGGCAGCCTGAGGGAGGGGACAGTATATGGCAGGCCCCTCCCTCCCTCACTGTATCCCAGCAGCCTGGCAGAAATCCCCACTTCGACCTCATTCGTCTCTCCTTCCTTTTCCTGCCCCTTCTTCCTCCGGCTTCTCCTCTTTCATCCTCCTCCTCTCACGTCCCTCCTCCTCCATCTCTCCCCACCTTCCCTCCGTCATTAACACCCTGTGCCTCTCCTCCATCTCTCCCTCTTTCATCCTCCCTTCTCTCCTCTCTGCCTTTTTTCTTTGCCCTCCCTCCCCTCTCTGTGTGATTTTATTTTTCCTCCTATCTGTTGCTTGGATTGGTGTGATACCACATATATTAACGTTATTATTTTTTTCTATTTTGATTTAAATGTTTTCAGATGTTATAAGCTGATCTTTGTAATTTCCAGATTTCTCATATTACGGTGGTAATAAATAGATGTTACACAAACGTTTTCCTCTTACTGCCTCTGTCTCGGGGGTTGGCAAGATTTCACTTTTTGCACGTTTATAATTAAAAAATGTTTCTCATCATCATCATTATGTGACGCTACTCAAATCAGTGAGTAGGGACCTTGCAGTTGCCTTGACACAGAAAGCAGGAGTAGAGGTGAAGACAGTGCTAACCAGCCACCTGGCCATCACACGTGTACAGGTAAACGTCAGTTCAACACTGAAAACTAGGAGAAAGGCACCATTTCGGCACTCGAGCCTCCTGTCACGTTACACCTGCAGAAGTCTCAACAGCTGAAACGCTCTGCTTCTTTCTACTTCTCAGGGTTGAACTGATCTGCGTCCTGGCCAAATTTCCCATTGACCCTTACCAATCATGGCCTCCTAATAATCCCCCTCTCTGAACTGGCTTCATCACTCTGCTCTCCTCCCACTGAGAGCTGCTGTGTGGGGAGAGTACTGGTGCACTCTGGCTGCCGTCGCATCATCCAGGTGGGGGTACACACTGGTGGGGGTGGAGGTTAGACCCCATTACTGTAAAGCGCTTTGAGTGGAGTGTCCAGAAAAGCGCTATATAAGTGTAAGCAATTATTATTATTATTATTATCATCTTTACTTGCTGTTTTGCAGCCAGCGCACACTGATGCAGCCCCCCTTACTCGAACCCAAGTCTAGCAGAGTGTGGGAATGTGTCTGCTGCTGGTAAGAATATACACATACCAGCAGGGGGGGGGAGAGAGTTCGAAGATGTGTTGTCTGTGAGCCCTCCGGTGTCCTCCTGCAGCTCTTCAACAAGGCCGGCAACTTGAGCACACGAGGCACAGGAGTCCGGTCCAGGGAGGTAGGGTCACTTTCTCAAGCGTGTTGGGTAGGACTGAGGTTTTGGTCGCCATGTTAGAGGAAGCCTCACAGGAAAGTTGTGAACAGGATGAGACCCTAAGAGGTTGCAAACGAGAGGCCATCTAGCTCATTCGGGAGTAGCCAATGGATACATGAATCTCACCCAGCCTTTTCTTGAAAGAAACCAGAGACGACATACGAGGGGGAACTGAATCTTTACATTTCAAGACCACGCAATGTTAGGACAATGTGTAGAGTTGGAGTGTAGCAGACACTCTCCCTAAGTTTTTTTTAAAGCCACGGACTTCATTTGGAGAACAGCATCCAATATTGGTCAAGGCTACAAATAGTTCATTGCTGCAGTGTTCCCAGTCCACAAGAGGCTTACTTCCTGGCCTTAAAGGGATGTTTTGCAGGTTGGAAGGGCTGCAACTCTTTTAATAGAAGTGACTCTGGGGGGAACTTAAAACTCTGGCAAGTTACTGGTAAAGTCAATCCAGAGTTAGACCAATGGTGATACCAGGAGACAGACGGACAGGAGGAGCTTCTTTACACAAATGGTTGGAGAGGTCTGGAACGGCTGACGATTCAAACATGATGCGATCCTCGAAGTGGGCCAGGTGAACTCCTCTTTTCTTCAACTCTTCCACAGGTTCCAAACAAAAGTGGTTCAAATACTGCGGCTGATTAATCCTTCACACATGGTAAACAACTATAACTACCAATACCGAATCGTCGTTTTTTTCTGCAGCACTGAAAAACACCGAGAAATAAGCGAACTGATAACCTTTCACGTTAAAAGGAAACCTTAAAAACTGACTTGGAGGTAGAAACCTTTACAACTCGCAGCATTAAGACATTACAGCGTATTTGCTTTCTGGCAATGTTAATTATAGTTGAAGCTAATTTATTCTTTTAAGATGTGCGTGTTTTCTCTTGAATGCATATACGTCGCTTCTCTACATTATATACGTTACTGTCTAGTCCGGTTCTGAAAGGGCCATTCTGCTGCTGTCAGCCCACAGGCAGAACGGTACCGTCTCTTCGCTCCTACTACAGGAATACCTTTAGAAAACGTCGCTCTAACGGTTAAGAAGTGATGAGAAGTGAGAATATTTACAGCCGTGCCGCCCGGCCCTCCACGCCTGACGTCTGCCGCGGTCGCGCGCTGGCGAACAGAACCGGAAGTGTGGCCGGGGCGCGCGTGTCCGCCGGGAGAGCGTGAATGTTGACCGTCCGGTCTCCTCCTCCTATAAATTTTATTTTTATGTTTCTTTACTCTTTCCGTTTCTGTCTCATTAGAACAGGCAACGGGTGTACGAGACTAGCAAATATATATATATATTTTTATCTTTTCCTGTATCAACGAAAATGCCTCGTGTTTCAAAACTGCCCAGTTGGTAACACTCTTGCCCATTTTTTCCACCAACAATAGTTTAGTATTTAAGTCACCGAGGTGCTATTAATTTGACATATATTACAGTAACAGGTGTTCCCTCCTATCAAACCTTATAATGTTATTGCTTTTTTAAGGCACTGTAGGTGGGGTTAAACAGTAAGAGGATAGTAGAACAGTAAAATATTATTTTCTCGGCTTTATATTTTGTCTGCGTTGTTCTTTAAACGTTCCGTGTAGTTTCGGGAAGGGCGGTACTGTCCCGGACCGAGCCCAGCCCAGCAGAGCGCAGCTCCTCGCACGGTGCTGGCCGCTTTCGCCCCGGGCGACAGTGCCGGACCTGCGGGCTGCTGTTCACTCTGTGTCCAGCAGGGGCAGCGCTGCCCAGGACACGGGCCCTGCGGAGACACCAGTGTACGCGCTGCTGGGGCTCCGTCGGTACGAAAACACGGCTCGTACACTGATGAAGAGGGGGGTGTGAGCGCTCGCCCTTATTTTTCCACTGCACTCCGCGAACAGAAGCCTTTGCTGCCCCGCGTGTGTTTGGAGACAGTGTGTTCTGCTCTCATTCACAGTGAATGTGGCATCCTGTGGTACACAACAATAAAGTTCTCTGCATACGTGGGTGCCCTGCCTTGCACTGCAAGCAGAGATCACCTAGATCGAGCCCCTTCCCGCTACTGTTGCAATAAAACTTAAAATAATCTTAACAGCAATACAACCACATCTTTCAGTAATGAGAATAGAAGTAAAATAAAAGATAACATAATAATGATAACAGACATGGAATTGATCATCATTTTACTCCCACCACCTATGCTAATAATACGGTTAATAGTAGCAATTACAATCAGCATGACAGAAGTCAACGGCCAGACTCTTTTTTGTTCTGTCTCTGCTGGGCAAGATTTCTGAGTCTCCACTCTCCACCAGTGAAAACACAGCACCATGAGCACCCCCTCTACACACACACACTGTCCACTCTTTTCATAAAAACAGAGACAGCAGTGGCACGGATCTGTACAGTATGGCTGTGTTGATCTGTGTGTGTGTGTGTGTGTGTGTGTGTAAGAGTAGCATGTGGGGATCTTGTTTACTTTTATAAACAAGTCTGCGGGCGGGGGGTAGTGGGGAGGAGAACAGGAAGGCCAGCCTTTGTCTCCTGCGCTCGGTCCATCAGCCCTTGAGCTCTGAGCACAGCGCTGGCCCGGAATCTGAGTGGAAAGACCTGTTTCTATGGGCTCCATTCTGAATGACTATCCAAAACTAAAATAAAAAAAACAGCTCACTTTATTCTGACCTTATGTAGCAGACAGACACTTTCATAATGAGTGAAATTATGGAATTTTCAGAGGTTACTGTACGGAGGCTATGTGGTGTCTTGAGTAGAATTTATAGACGAAATCGAAGAGACAAAAGGCTTAGACATACAGTATTCATGGTTCAGCACTGCACGTTCAGCTCAGAGTGTTTCCTTCTTTGTGCAGAATTCAGTGGTGGTCTCCTGCTGACATTGTCGCCATTTTGTTTTCAGATAACAGTTCATCCTGACAGATCTGTATTATGGAGCTCAAAAAGGAGCCTTTTAGCCTCACGGGGGTGTAGAGAGGAGCACCTGCAGTTCATGACAGCGAGTCAGTGAGACTGGGGGGCGAATGGGGTGGAGGAGCTACTACATCATTACACACTTACTGCTCCTGCGCAGTTTACCTGGAGCTGCTGGGATCAGGCTACTGGAGACTCTGATCAGTGTTTTCATTATAAAACAAAGTGTTATAATAGTATTAATGACCTGTCTGGGCCTGATCTCTCCTATTGACTAATTGCCTGGTTATTAATAAATGGTATATAGAAACATTTTAGTGGATTGTAGTAGATATTGTACAATCACACAGTGCATTAGTAAGACCACAGTTCATAAAGACCTCAGTCCAGAAAAGGACAACAGTTTTTGCCCTTTAGATAATGTTCTACACAGACATGTTAATGGAAGTGATTCTCTTTAGTTCTGCCGAAATTAACCTACAAGGGGCTTTAATTCAAGTAATCACAACCCTCAAAGGTCATTTACATAGTTTGTACTTTTTTTGTGACCTGCCATGCTATGAAGATGACGGTTTTATCTTCTGCCCTTGTTTTATTTGCCTGGCTTTGTGATTTTCTTTCATTTGATTTTGTGCAACGTGCTTTTCAAGTGTTGCAAAGTGACACCAACCATGCTTTACCTTCTTGTTACTGCAGTACCAGCTGTTACCGTATGTTCTTGCTTCATTGTCCTGTGTCAAGGGACTGTTTCAGTAACTTTGTGGATTTTACATTTGGATTTACAACTGCCTTTATATAATCTGTTCTGCTCAATACTGAAGAGATTCAGTTCCTTCAGCCTATGTATAAAATTAGCCCAGTTGATCTTCTTTGAACCCTTTACAAGTCAGCAACATGCTCTGACGTGTGTGTGTGTGTCAAAGCATGTATCAGAGGGTGTGTCAGAGTGTGCATAAGTGTGAACGTCAGTGTGTATCAGCGCGTATGTCAGTGTGTATTAGAGTGTGTGTCAGTGTCATAGTGTGACGAGTGTCTCTGAGTGCTGTTCACCTTCCCCAAGGTCTGTGCTGCGGTCGGTGTCCATCTGTGCTGAGCTGAAGGATTAGAGCCCAATCCTCCTGTCTGCGGCTCAAACTGCTGACTGACAGCGCTGCAGATTAACAGAGCACAGCACAGCGCCGGCAGGGAGATTAACCTCACAGCCACACACACACGCA